GCTTAACCGACTGCGCCACCCAGGCGCCCCTCATTTTGTCTTTTTCAAAACCATTGCACATCTTCCCTGTATTGTTAGGATTTGCTTTTGGATGGAGGTTCTTTTGACTATTACGTAACCCTCAGGTTGTCAGATTTCCTTTAAAAAGCATGGTTGTGTTGATTATCACTAATAGTAATAATTGGGAATGTCAAATAATTTCGTGTAGATGTGAGAAAAGTTATGAGTTTTCCTTTAACTTTTATTTATTTTTATTTTTTTAATATGAAATTTATTGTCAAATTGGTTTCCATACAACGCCCAGTGCTCATCCCAACAGGTACCCTTCTCCATGCCCATCACCCACCCCCCCACCCCCCATCTCAGCCCTCATGAGTTTGTTCTCAGTTTTAAGAGTCTCTTATGGTTTGTTTTCTCTCCCTCTCTTTTTTTTTTTTTTTTCTTTTCCCCTCCCCCATGGTCTTCTGTTAAGTTTCTCAGGATCCACATAAGAGTGAACACATATGGTATCTATCTGTCTTTCTCTGTATGACTTATTTCACTTAGCATGACACTCTCCAGTTCCATCCACGTTTCTACAAAAGGCCATATTTCATTCTTTCTCATTCCTTTAACTTTTAAACAATTGAGCTTAAGCATCACTGTCCCATCCTTTCTATCATCAGTCTTTCGGTTTTGCACTTGCCAGCATTCTGGGGTGAGTCCGCGCTTCTGAAGGTCCTTGAGTGTGGTACTTCTGCCCTGTAGCATGGCTCATTTTATAAACTATTCCCTTTTTACTTTTTGACGAGCAAATTGTATTTTATGTATGTTTATGTAAGCAAGACAATGAGAGTTAATGATTGTGTTGTATTCCCCCACGGCTCCAGGAATATTTAGAAAGCCAGAGTCAGAAACCCGCATCTGCTCCACTCTCCCTGGAGCAGGCATTGCTACCAGCCATCCTTCCTCCAAGGTAAGATTTGTGGAAATGTTGTATACTAACGAAACCAACAAGTATCTATTGTTCCCTCCACGGCATAGAAAAATAGGTTACTTTTCTGAAGAATGTGCATGTTCTCGTTTTCACTTCCTCACTTTGAGGAACTTTTCTCTTGGTTTGATAAAGGATAGTGAAGTGATGGGTTTTCATATTAGTCTGGAGGTTTCTGATTATTTGCCTTATAAAATCTTTTTGAGGGGCGCCTGGGTGGCGCAGTCGGTTAAGCGTCCGACTTCAGCCAGGTCACGATCTCGCGGTCCGTGAGTTCGAGCCCCGCGTCAGGCTCTGGGCTGATGGCTCAGAGCCTGGAGCCTGTTTCCGATTCTGTGTCTCCCTCTCTCTCTGCCCCTCCCCCGTTCATGCTCTGTCTCTCTCTGTCCCAAAAATAAATAAACGTTGAAAAAAAAAAATTTAAAAAAAAAAAAAAAAAAAAAAAAAAAAAAAAAAAAAATCTTTTTGAGTGTATGAATCGGGTAAGAGTTCTTATTTGATTTATGCTTTTGAATGTGGGAACTGAATTCCTTTTGGTAGTAGCTTAGGTTATGTATATTGTTAGTGCAGAGTATGAAAGAGTTTTCCTATGTCAGTTTTCCAGAACTCAAATTGAATTGTAACTTAGAGAAATTAAATATTAAGCCCTTCCCTTAATGTGTTCAAGTGTTGAAATTTTAGAAATGTTTCAAAATGAGGTATCGGGGGGCACCTAGGTGGCTTAGTCGGTTAAGCAGCAGACTCTTGATTTCGGCTTGGGTCACGATCTCATGGTCTGTGAGATTGAGCCCCGCGTTGGGATCTGCTCTGATAGCATGGAGCCTGCTTGAGATTCTCTCTCTCTCCCTACCTCCCCCACTTGTGCGCACACGCTCTCTCGCTCTCTCTCTATCAAAATAAATAAACATTTTTAAAAGATTAAAAAAAAAATCAAAAATAAAATGAGGTATCAGCGCACCTGGGTGGCCCAGTCAGTTAAGCGTCTGACTCTTGATTTTGGCCCAGGTCATGATCTCACATGATCATGGGATGAAGCCCGCATGAGGCTCTGTGCTCAGTATGGAGCCTGCTTGGAATTCTCCCTCCCCCTCCCCGACTTGTGCTCTTTCTCT